CAGTCTCTTCAAAAACTGTAAGGAGATCTATTATTTCCAAGAGTCCTTGTATCAAAAACTGTAGTGTCAGCTGATTTAAAACTAATGAAATAAATGAAGGAACTGGAGTCTATTTGAATGACCTCCCACCCACACTCCACCCTCGACTTTCTGTCGTCACATTATCTAAGTAACAGCCCTCAAAACTGTTATAGAGTGGTTCTGACAGGCAATCATATTTTACCTTTGATTTTCTTTTCTTCTTCCTTTGATACTAACAAGATTTTGTTTAACAAACTGAGGAGCATAACTGTAGTCCTCTTTACTTGTTTTAACTATTGAGAAAACAATTAATACAATCAACACTCATTGAATACCTACCACATAAAAGGGATTATGTGAAGGGCATGAGAGTTAGAAGACTGTATAAATAAATAGTGCTACAGTTTAGTGTGTAAAAGCAAAGATGTTGGAGTCAGAAAACCACAATTAAATTCTTGTTTTCCCTCATAGCATATGTGTGACCCTGATGAGTCACTGTACTCTTTAAGTCAAGTTTTAATAGTGACACCTTCCAGGATTGTCATGATAATTAGGTAAAAGAGCTCAATTCATTGTTTGGCTTAGAGTAAGTGATCAACAAATATATAGCTAGTTTATAACAGAAAATCTTCTAAGAAGATGGAAGTATAGAGGAATTAATAGGAAACCGAGAAACAAAACCAGGCATATATTTGAAAGTGGCAAAATGTACAAACTATAAAAACTTCAGCAAAAAGGACAGGCTAGTTCTAGATGAGTATTTTTCTTCTTCATATTCTTCACAAGAATACCACAGTCAAGAATTTGCTGAGCTACTTTAATTCCATCTCAAACCATGTACAAAAAGCAGAGTTTGAATTTAAAATCAAGCCTCTTGCTGGTTCCTTAGGAACTTGGAGAAATATTTGTATCTTGGCTCATCCAAGATAAGTGATTTTTATATTAAGCTGATTGTTAACTCTAATCATTTGAAAAGACATTCTACCATATTAAGAATACTTCACTTAATAAATACAACATGTAAATTACTCTGCTTGAGTGGATTGGGGGAGGAGAGGCTGTGAGAATTGGCTAGCTCCTCAAGAAATTTGCTCTGTAGAAATTTGCTGTCTTCACCACTCCCTTCTCTGTCTTCAACTTCTATAATTAAGAACACTAACAGGGGAAACAGAAACCCAGAAATAGAGATTGTTACTTTGTTTGCCATTTCATTCATTCCTAAACTGTTGGATCTGTAACAAAATACTCAAATAAGAGTTAAAATAATGAGAGTCACAATCATGACAATTTATAATTCTTAACCTATTTACATTCTGATTCTTCCTAATCGTGCTGCATCAAGAGAAATGGTTTTGCCCAAATATTAACAAAATATCTTCAGACTACAAATGGTATTCAACAGCTGTTGTATTATTGTGGAAACCCTATTCAATTTTCAGATTTATATGATTCAGACATTTTAAATCTTATAAACGCCTTGATTTTTAGCAGAGTGTGTTCTTTTATTTGCTAGGAGGCATTTGTCCATTCCTAACCTTTTTACCTTCAGAAAATAAATGACACGTGTGACTTGAAAATTGAATCCATCTTGACTGAAAAAGAAATAATAAAAATAGCTAATGTCTTTATCATCTCCACAGCAAGCCTACGGGGCAGACGCTGTTGCTGCTTCAGTTTTGTAAGATGCATTATATCGTGCTAATCCTCAATAAATATGAAAAAGTGATCATTTCACAGCTAAAAATTGACAAACTGGAACACATTTCTCATTTGAATAGACAAGATAAGCAGGTTGCCGCCAGTGTCGCCATCTCTGCCTTCGGGTGTGTTGTGTCCCCGGCAGACACTGTTGGTTCATTCGTAGGTCACTGCTATCTCGTTTCTATTTGTCTATTTCTGGACCAGACCTCGGATTCTCATTCCAGGCAGCCGCCTGTCTTAAGGGCCGTTCTGCTACCTACCTTCCGTGACATAATTTAAAGAAATGAATTTACCCCACCCCCACCCCCAATTAAACTATTCCAGGTGCAGATTTCTTGCCTGGGGAGAGAATGGAGAAAGGAATGGGATTCATGAATATAAATTGGGCTCTCCTTACGTTTAAGTTTTCATTTTGCAATTGTGGAGTGTTCACTCTCCTCATAAATCCTTATTTGCTTTAAGTGTGTTTACAGTGGGAACCCCAGTGCAGAGCCGGTAGCCCATTGCTATGCATAACTGAATATTAAAGTTCACAAATCATCAGGCAGAGGAGGCCTGGGGAGGGGGATGCTGCTGCCAGGCCTCTGCATCTGTGCTGGCAGCAAAGAGGAATTCTGCTCTCACAGGCTCAGCGCCTTTATTGGCATGGGGCTCCCCAACCTCCACACTCTTTTTGTCTCCTTGAATATTATTTGATGTTTGCTTCCTCTTCCTACCAAGGCATTCTGTTGTCTGAATGTCTTAACAGCTGTATTATTTTCCTTTTGCTAGTTTTGGTTTAGAAGCCAGTGTAATAAATGGATCTCCTGTAGATCACCTCAATTTGCTTTTGAACAGGTAACTCTGTGAAAGGAGGGAAGGAATCAGTAAGGAAATACATAAATGATCTTCAGGCACTAGGTCATGTCCTCCTCTCTCCTCCCCTTTCCTCTGCTCCTCCCTTCTCTTCTGCTCCTGTTTTAATTTACACAATAGCTGTATGTATTCTGTAAAAAGATCCATTGAGGCCAACTGGGCTTTCTTTTACAATATAATTTGAGCCAAAATATTAGATGACACTGCTCTCATTTTCAACTTGTGCTTTGAGTCTTCAGCACAAGTCAGGGTTAAGGTTAGAGCTGGTTAGGCTTAGGGTTAGAAATAAGGCCCTATTATGTTCACAATTATGTTCACAATTATGTTCACTTGACCATGAGTTCACATTGTCTGCTCTTTGCAATAAAACTAAATGGTAAGGAAGTCTGTTGGTCATAAGTTTTCTATAATTATACTAAGTTATTTTTCTTATGTATATAATAATTCATGCGACAAAGAACTTGATGTGGTTTGGAATAATATCATAATAAAATGGTAAATTGGCCACAGAATTTTTCAGGTCAACTGGATATATGAATTAGAATGGAAGATCTAGACAATGAAAAACAATGGAAAACAGTTATTTTGCAATTAATGGTAAAAGAAATTTCTCTCAAAGTGCTTCTGTAGATGAGGTGTTCAGGGAGGTATTGATAACAGTAATGGCCTGGGTTGTATTTCTTGTTCCCAAATCTGACTTTTCCGTATTGCACAAACTGTGAACACCCTAGGTATGCAGACTTCAGAGCTGATATTGTTAGTCTTAAAAAGACCTGCCCAGCAAATTAAAGGAAAGCTTTGACTTGTGACAGAATGTAGCGGGAGACAAGGTGGCCATTACCCTTGATTATATTCATAATATGTGCTGTCTTTACAAGAACTTAAAAATTCAACAAATGAAAACCACTGTGAAAATGAATTAAAGTGAATATTAGGAAGATAAAACAGTAAGATACATAAAGAAGGCCAAAGGGTTAAATCACATACTGGCTCCACTTGCCAATTTTAGGAACAGCCCAGACCTCCCAAATTAGCCTTTTCCCTAGTTTGCTCTATCAGGTATTCCACACTGAGGACAACTTGCTTCTTTGATAAATAGAGCTGATCTCTTAACTCAGTGACTATTTACAAGTCACATTTCTACAATATTTCTGAAATGAATGAAGGTGTATTTCTGTATATCAAAGGATAGTTAATACTGTCTTCTGTAAAGACTATAATACAATTTTATCCTTCTTTGATATAAAGTTAGAAATCTCACTTGCACCCAAAATATAGGTTATTGATTTATGATGTATATTGATTAGGTATTTTCTTTTACTGTTGCTTTCAATTTTAAAAATCTGGTTGTAAAGCTTAGCTCAGTGTTTGTTAAGAAAATCTAGGATTTTAAAGATTCTTCTTTCTAAGAAAATTGTATTCAGACAACAGTTCTACTTATCCCCAGGTACTCAGCATGGTTAATAATATAAGCTCTGGAAGGACCTTGGTTTACAGCATAAAGTATATCTGTTTCATTTCTCTACCACTATGTCATGTTCACCTAAATCATAATGTTCCTCTTAATATTTATAAGAACAATTCAAAACCTTCTTTAAAAAATGCATTTTAAACTGCTCATTGTGGTGAGGATTATAATAATTAGAATAAATCAATTCTGGTCTACTTAAAAAAGAAAGAAAAGGAAGCCAAACAACTGACCCACCCAGAAAGAAACAGATAAATTTTTTAAATGTTGCATTTTTCCATTATTTATGATATGTACATGTTCACTTATTGGAGTGTTTTACCAGAACATTCTCTTGGAAGCTGTTGGTTAAACAAAATAAAAGTATGGCATATCATTTACTTGCTGTTGCCTTTTTGTCTAAGACAATAAATAGCAAATTATTCAGAGTAGTGAATCATTTTGTTCAATAGGACATAAAAACATAGAATTCATGCAAAGCTATTAGTCTATTTGATGGTTTCTGTGTGAAATGAGTTAGTCCAGAAAAAATAGGATAATAAGGCAATGAGTTAATTTATTAATAATTTTAAAATAATTTACTAATCTGTGAATTTTCCAAATATCATTGAAACCAAAGAAAAAGCTATATATGAAAGGTATAATAAATTATAGCAGTCAACTCATATCAGGCTTTTGTGTTTGTACCACAAAGAAATTAATATTGTCATGCGTGTTCATTGGGCCATTTTGCATAACCTTAGAAATGTTGGTGAATTTTTGAAACTATAATCTTGTTAACTCTTAGAAGTAAAAAATATATTCCTAGGAAGTAAACATCTGGAAAACAAACACATTTCTGATATGGAGATTGAGATGTTTGAAGCTCGCCTTTTGAACGAATGCTCTTTGCCCATAAAATATCACCGTGTTTGTCCTGGCACAACCAGTTCAAACGGGTCACTTATCTTCACAGGTTACCAGCCAGTCCTGTCTGGTCAACAGGGGTTCCAAGGCCTCGTGGGAGTGCAGCAGCCTCCTCAGAGTCAGAGCGTGATGAGCAACCAACAAGGAACTCCGGTGCAAAGCGTGATGGTTTCCTACCCAACAATGTCTTCTTATCAGGTGCACATAAGCAGCTTGGAAGATTGTGGGTTAAAAAGTAGCACTTGGCAAAGTAGACACTGTGGGTATGTCCCTGTGTTGGGTGGTTGGCTGGGTGGTGGGTGCTTGGCCCAGCTACTGTTGATAATTGACTTTGAATCAAGATTACAGTAGAAAAGTAGAAAATGAAAAATATATGCTTCTATAACTATGGTGTCTTTAGACTGCCCTGCTAAATTTGTTTCCATATAAACTTTCTATTCATGGAAGAAAATTCATTAGTCTAAAGTTCTATTCATAAAAACCTTTAGACCTGGGGCAGGGAGACGAGTAGTGCTAGAGCTCTGTGGCTCAATCCCCAGTATGTGGCCTGCAGGTTGGGGACAGCAGACTTAAAGGGGCATTTATGGGTCATAACAACTGCATTTTCCAGACTAAACCCAAGTTGAGTATTAAGAAGGTGTTATGTGCCCTTTTGTGATTTACATCCTGAAGTACCCCAAAAGTAGAAATGAAGAGTCAGTGAAGTGCTTTAATTATTAAAGTTAGATGTACCAGTTACTTTTTACCCTAAAGGACCTATCCTATGACCTCCTTCCTACCCTGACTATTCTCATTCACATTACGTCAACTTCTAGCCCTGGCTCCCTGCATTAGGTGTTTTCTAAAGCTGCAGGTGTAGAGTGTTGTAGGTGCCCAGTTCAAAAGCCCCTTTTACTATGTGAGGCTTCAAGTCACTTTGTTTGCATAAAACCAGAATCGAAGCATGGCTTTCCAAACTGAGAGAAACCCAGGGCAGGAGATCCAGACTGCAGTCCCTGCAGGGCATCAAGAGAGAAGAGAGAAGGCAGCTCAGAAGTAACACCTTCTGGGCATCTACTGCACGCCAGGCATTTGTGCCAGGCACTGTATGCCATCTCTGCAGTTCTTTCAGTCAAAGTTTGAAGTAGGTATCATTATCCAAGTGGTCTAGGGAATCAGAGAAGTTAAGTAACTTTCCCAATGTGAAACAGCTGATCAGTGGCAGGGCTGGGGCTGGTGACCTGTTAGATCTAACACAAAAGCTTGACTATTTTTCATGAAAGCCCATTGTTTATCGTATACCCCAAAACAGCCTCTTCATGCAAGGGTTCTTGCTTATGTCTCTCTACAGGTGCCAATGACCCAAGGTTCTCAAGGACTGCCCCAGCAGTCATACCAACAGCCAATCATGCTACCTAACCAGGCAGGTCAAGGGTCACTCCCAACCACTGGCATGCCTGTTTACTGCAATGTCACACCGCCAACCCCTCAGAACAACCTTAGGCTGATTGGCCCACACTGCCCCTCCAGCACCGTCCCTGTGATGTCAGCCAGCTGCAGGACAAACTGTGCGAGTATGAGCAACGCTGGTTGGCAGGTCAAATTCTGAGAGTTCTGGCTGTGGTACGTTTCTTCAGATATTTACTCATGGCCTTTAAGGGAAGAAGAACAAAGTGGGAAAACTGGCTGAGGACTTAAGTATTCACTCAACACTCAAATGATTGCTGCTGGTATTCTGTAAAAAACAAACAAAGACTAATAACACATGTTAGCTGGTTAATGGTGCATATTTCTGTCATGTCTGCTAGGTATGCATTTATAGCTTAGCTAGTGACATGAATTCATCAAGGTAAGATTTTCTCCTACCACTGAATACCACTGTGTAGATTATAATATCCCTAATTTGAATTAGTTTTGTACTTCGTGTTGAGTTTGTGATGCTAAAAGTATTTAAAAATTATATACTGAAATCACATTGTACCAAAGCTGTAATGGAAAAGAGAAGAATCGATGAATGGAAGGAATAATTTATATACACGATAGAGTTTTCTTTTTTAATGGATATATACTGTATTGTAGTGTTTAATCAAAATAAAACTATCTGACCTTATGAAGGAAGGTCATGTTTTTATTACCAGTTTTGTTCACTCTCTCTTTCAATGTGTGTTTATTATGTGTCACTGTTATCCCCTTTGAGCACTGTTTTATGAATAATGCATGAAAAAGATGCTGCAGGTATTTGTAAGTGAACCGGCATCCCATGGGGAGATGTTGTAGGCAAAGACTTAACTAACTGTAGTTTATTGTCATAATACTATGGGGATCCTGAAAATAGGATGGCATCCTTTCATTCATTCACTGAGTTCACATTTTTGAAATGTATACCTTGCCTTTAGTTATACAGCGGCCCCCAACCTTTTTGGCACCAGGGACCATTTTCATGGAAAGACAATTTTTCCATGGACTGGGAGGTGGGTGGTAGGGGGATGATTTCAGGATAATTCAAGCGCATTGCATTTACTGTGCACGTTATTTCTATTATTATTACATTGTAATGTATAATGAAATCATTATACAACCCACCATAGGTTGGGGACCCCTGAGTTATAGGACTAATAAAAGCATATAGCTATACTTCTCTGCCTATAATAGAAAAACTTGTCTTTGGTAGCAGCAGCTCTACACCAAATTCTGTCCTACTTTTGAATTCCTTCATACCTCTGGAAAACAAGTTATCGTTGTTTAGAAGGAAATTAGAAGGGCCAAGGTCTAATGCTATAATACCTGTTATATTGGCTTATACAATGGAAAATGCCACTAGTATTGTCAGTGAGTCAGTAACTCAAAGGTGCTAATTTTTGTCCTAGTAACTTAAAACAAAGACAACTATGATTTAGTCACATCGACTCAGAACATTGGCAAAGACATTTAGAAGAAGCCTGTGGCTATCTAATCCCAAAATGATTTATTCCCTGTAGATTCTGCAGGTAAAATTGATTTATGACAACCTTTGAAAAATAATAAAAGAACTTTGAACTCTGAGATTTGGCTCTTCTGGAAGATACTTAATGGTGAAATAAAATCCCAAAGCTTTCACTTTACTATCACAGTACAATGACTAATAGTTTTGTATTTTTTATTGCCTGCTAAAAACTATTATTATCAATACAAAGGGATATGGTAAGAATATCTGTATAAGTCCCATTGTTTCCCACATTATCACATTCTCCATATTATATTTGTCGTTTTCATGTTGTTTAGTCGGGGGTAGAGTTAAGCAACCAGTAAAAACTCTACCTAACAGACTATCCTTTCTTCATTCTATACTATTGTTTTCTTTTTCCTTTATAAGAGAACTCTTATACATACTGTTATTAGCTTCATTCCTTGTGAAGTCTGACAATTTTTCCAAATCTGTCTACTCATTTCTTCATTATAAATAAGCCCTGACCATATAAAAGCATTATAAAAAGGGGATGTTGTATTTTTTTCTTACTGAGCCATCAGCGCTCTGAGAAAGAACAATAACTTTGCTTAATGAATACCTTTCTCTAATGTAAAGAGGGCATTGTACAATATGGATTAATTTTTAAAATATATTCTCCATTTAACCTTCTGATTTTGGCAATGATCCCAAATTCAAGAATCCAAATATGAGCCTGAATGTTTGTTTGTTTTCTTTCCACAGAATTCTGGAATTTTCAACCTTTTGCTCCATGATCCTTAGAATTACTGAGCCTCCTTTCCTGTGGATTTGATTTTGGCTACCCTTCTCCCAATCTGTCACAATCTTTCATATTTAGACATTTGACATTTGTTTTACAAATCCTTTTGGATACTGATTCAGGATGAGCCTTCCTCCCTACTTTCAGTAAATATTTATACACAGCTATCTTAGTCCATTTTATGTGACTCTAACAGAATACCAGGGTAATTGATAAAGAAAAGAGGTTTATTTGGCTTATGATTCTGGTGGCTGGAAAGTCCAAGATTAGGCACCTGCATCTAAAATAGATTCTTTTAACATCTTGCTCAGGGGAACTAATCCACTGCCCAGAGAATGAGAACTCATTTACCCTCTACAGGAGGACTTTAATTTATTCATGAGGGATCCACCCTCATGACCCAAACACCTCCTACTAGGCCCCACCTCCCAAAACTGCCCCAGTGGGATCTAATTTCAACATAAGTTTTGGTGGGCACAAACCACATCCAAACCTCAGCACCAGCATTAAGGTATTCCAAATCTTATGTTTACTGGGTTTTTTTTTTTTTTTTGCATCCAAATATTTAACATGTTTATGTAGAAAGATATTTTTATTAGTGAAGTATTTCCAGAATTTAATTTATTACTAGAAGAGTATTCCATTTTTCATGTTGGTTAATAATTTTGTCACAATCACATTTTGTAATCACACATTATTCAGTTTATAAGCTTATATAGAGACATCTGGATACATATATATATAAATACATATATATAATTATAGTTATTTCTAATGATCTTCTATGCCTTTATGTAAATGTAAAAGACAGTAAGTGATCTATGTATGCATTTTTTTTCAGCAAAATTTTATTGCATACTTACTTACATTCTAACTATGTGGCATCATTCAAAACAAGAACACAGATAAATTTAAAGCACTTAGATTTACTCTTGTAAATTTTACATTTGGTTACTCTTTGATAGCTGTAGCTAAATGTTCTAACTAGGATACTAATGAATTTAAGCCATAATCATGCTGTTTTAATATAGTTATACAGTGTATGAGGGGTGGAAGGAGAGTGTGCTATACAACATTATGGAAATGGGATTAAGTAATTAATTATAGATACGGTTGGAGGACTTAGAATACTGTTGTAAATGATTTTTAAAAATGGGGTATATATGAACCAGAGCAGTTTTTCAGGAGAGATTTGAAGAACAAAATAAATACAATCAAGGAAAAAAATTACTGCAGCAGAAATGAATTTTGAGATCTAATAAATGCATATTTAGACTCTGTTCCAATTTTGCTAGTAGCTAAAATGTGATGAGATGCTTTCATACTCCCATCCTCCTATTACCTGTGTTCCATATATACAGGTACAAACAGTGGACAAATGTTCAGTCCCCTCTCACCTGGGCCCTGGCACTTACATTGCAGGTACCTTGATCATTTACAAACCAAAAATAAAGTATTGTATATATCTCACCTTCAAGGGGACTTTAAAACAGATTTTTTGAGTTTCACAGTCCAAGTAATATATTAAACATAAATGTAAGTATTTTATATAAATATAAATACATTTTTTAAAAATTCAATGGAAGACTGGATTTGGGGGATAGTTATAGTTGTTATATGAAACAGACTGTTCCAAGGACGATTATAATTGGGAGACAAGATTAATCAAGGTTAAATAATCTTTTTAAAAGCTATCTATTTTCTGGAAACCTTTAATATATCACTTTATATCATGAATTTCCAAGAGGGAGGTATAATTTGCATAATTTCTCAAACTTACTTGAATAAAACATCCTTTGTTCCCAGAATATATAAAAAGACTAATACTGTCAGGACCATATTTTTTTTTAGATTATATTGGAGAATGTGAAAATAAGAGCGGTTTTTTAAAAATTTCTGTAAAAACAGTGTCTTATAAAAATGTAATGTCATAACCTCACTTGCAATTATGACATCTTATGACTGCTCTAATATGAACTATTGCACTATTTCCTCCATGAATATGTTAATCTGAAAGGTAATGCCATAGTGCCAAACTTTCTGGATCTTTATTTTTGAATTCTTAATGCTTAAGGACTTGATATCTATATTCATATCTATAATTATAGTGGTATAGATATGTAAGTATATAGATACAGTTGTCTCTAATGATCCATTACGCTCGTATGTGATTGTAAAGAGAACAAGAGTGATTATACATTAATTTATTCAGCAAGCTTTTATTGCATACTTACCAATTTCAAGACTTTGAATCACCATGTATGGAGCCCCTACCTTTAAGAAGCTTATGCATTTTTAGAATAAATTATACCAGTACTGTAAATAAATGAATATATAGGAGATTAGTCATAGGTCTCGTGAAAAATAATGTAAAAAGATTTTAAAGAAAGAAGAGATGGCATCTGGCTCTGGTTTGATGAGGCTTTTGTGAAGGACTGTACTGGATAGATGAAATTTAGGCAAGCAGAGACGGCTATGGATGGTCATAAACTCAGCTGAGGAAGATTCCTGAAAGGAAAAGAAACACAGGAAAATACGAAATACAATTTAGGTTGGTTGCAGTAGGAGGCGACCAGCTGGAAAAAGGAAAAGGAGCACTGAAAATTTTTCATTGTGAGCCTGGTTGTCATAACCTTGAACTCAAGGCAAAGAGGTAAAGGGCAACCAGCAGCTTCTGGAGAGTTTTCAATGCAAGGTCATATGACCTCAGCATAGAGAAGGACAGGTCTCAGAAAGTAGCATGGATTAGACCCGAAAAGCCTTTCACTCAGAAACCGGAGATGAACATAATAATAGTTAAGGTTTGCCCCTGAGCTACAGCTACCATTGGCATTATTGGGGTAAGTCAGGAAATGAGTTCTAGCTCTAGACTCTTAACACTGAAAAATTCTGTTGCATGCACAGCAAAGCTTTAAAGACATATGTCTTATTTTTGCCTCTTGGACCTAACCTTCTGTAAAAGGGCATGTACGTGCCCTGTCTTAAGCTGCATCACAAGGCCCGGGTACTGTAATCTGTCAGGTAAAACAAATACAGACTGAACTGAAATCGGAAACTGCATTGGGAGGGCTGCCAAGTCCCCATCACAATACATTCAGTATCAGTTCTCAATATGCAGTGAAATCTGATATCAACTTCCCATTCCCCCTTGTTAAAAAAAAAAAAAATGGTGACAATGCTTATGCATCAGAATTTCCTTTTTCTGTACTCTTATGGATGACATTTCTCCCACACAGGATGAGAAATCTTTGCTTCTTCCCATGCTATTCTGTCCAAACCTCTCTTTACTAAGGAAGGTTGTTCTCTTTAGGACCTTGGAATTAGTTTCCAGTAGTTCTCAGCTTTAGTGTTTGTTTCGAGTTCAAATCGTATCACCTGCATTCAGTGGAGTTTCACAACCTCCAATCTTCTT